TGGCAATGTGTGTGGGTCCAGAGGAGCCATGCCTTGAGAGCTTGCAGCCATGGTCAGCTTCAGTTGCCTCACTTGTAGAATGCCTCACTTGTACCCCCAGATTTGTGGAGCTTCTAGGACACTTCTGGGAGAAGTGACAAAATGAGCCTGAGCACCAAAGCTGCTCCACCCTCCTCCTCTGGCAGAGGCCTTTCAGAGAGCTCTCTAGAATTTCTGGGACATTGCATTCTCTGGAAATCTGATGAAAATTCTTATACACACAAACATACATGTAAACAAGCGTCCAGAATTTTCCCCCGACATCTAAGGTGGGGGAGACTAAAGGTTAGCACTGTGGGAAGGGAGAGGGAGAGCCATTAGACCAGCAAGAATAAAGTATAATAGTTCAGACTTCTCAGTACTAGGAGAGTATGCTCTGTGAGATCCTGGAGGTTGTTTAGCAACACCACAGCCCCCCCCCAAGGGAAAAAGGGGCCTTCTTAACTAGACATTCTGTGCTAAGGAAGGTGTGGCAAGGGGCTCCCTCAGAATACAGAGGAAGGGAGGATACATGCTCCTGGAGAAAGCTGGGCAGAGTACAGGCACTGATGCTTGGCAGGGGCATAGCAGGTGTAAGAGGGGACTGCAGAAGGGAAGGGGCGGGGCTTAAAGGTGATACCCTGGTGCTGCCCTTGTCTTCTGATACATGGCTATCTTTTCTAGTATACCTGAAGGGCTCTTAAGAACACACTGGATTCCTTCTCAACCTTTATCCCAGACCCTGTCACTCTGTCGATATCTCCAGTTTTCTAAATCCACTGTTCTTAGAGATAAGCCAGTGTCAACCTACCAGCAATCAATCCTAAGTCTATCCAGAAGGTCAGATGTGCTTCCACTAATTTCCTGGGAGGGTTTTGAGAATGCTAGCTATACCCCAGTCCTAGCTTTGCTCCCCACTCCTGTCAACCAGAGGCAAGAGGCTACTGCCCTTCTCAGATGGCACATCCTAATGAGGCTTGGAGTTCCATGCTCTCAGCAGGACCTGCCCATTCTGTCTCCACAGGAAGTGTAAGGGGCGATCTCCTGATTGACATTGGCTCTGGCCCCACCATTTACCAGCTGCTTTCCGCATGTGAGGCCTTCCGGGAGATCATCGTCAGCGACTACACTCCACAGAACCTGCAGGAGCTGCAGAAATGGTTGAAGAAGGAGCCCGGGGCCTACGACTGGTCCTCCATAGTGCAGCACGTGTGTGAGCTGGAGGGAGACAGGTAACTGCCCTGTGTCGTCCATCGACCTCATCCTTCTCAGACAAGGTCACTCAGGACAGCACAGGGACCATTACCCACCTTACTTTCCTCCTGGTCTGCCTGCACCTCATGAACTTATAACCCTGCCTCTGGGTCTGTCCCACCTCTAGTCCCAAGGCTGCCCCAAACTGTCTGACCCTGCTCTCCCTTTCTCTGTACCTGCTCAAACCAGCTGTGACACTAGCTTCTATGTCACCTCCTCCAGGAAGTCCTGACGACTGTCCCAGTTCACACCACTCCTGCTTTGCTCTGGAGACTGGTTCAATGTCTCCGTTGATGCTGGCAGACAAACTTATCATGGAAAGACATGCTGGGAGGTATACCCCACACTTGTCCCCTCAGCACTGTGACAAAGCCCCAAAGACCAATTAGCAGTGGTCTTCTGCAGGCCCTGTGTCCACTTTGGTTCATAGAGGGTATTAGCCCCAACTGAAGCTGCAAGAGTCAGTGATTCTGATTATACTGCTGGGGAAACTGAGGCCCTGGCTTAGAGACAGTACTCTAGCCTTCCTCGGAACAGGGTAAAAACAAGTCAGTATTTCTGCCCTGATCTTGGAACAGAGGACTGACCCTGACCACCATAGGCTGTCCTGGCTAGAGGGACAGTAATTACAGGGGCCTTAGAGTTAGTCCCGTCGGGGTGTCACTCACTCTCACTGTGAGTCAAGAGCACACACATCCAGGAGGAGGGAGCCCCATGGAGCTCCTGTTACACGAAGAGACAGCTGCCATCATTGTAGCCTGAGACAGGTAGTGTGAGGTGAAAGGACAGGCTACAACAGGGACATGAGAATCCTCTTCTGAGCTGAAGGTGACCTCTCCCAGGAGCTGGGGCGCCTGAGGGAACAAGGACCCCATCTCAGGAAGACATGGCCAGGCATCAGGGAGGGCCACCAAGGCCACAAACGGGCACCCTCGAGAGGCTGTGATAAGAGTGACATAGTGGCAGAGCATAAGTGTTCATTGTGTGTGTGAGTGCATGTGTGGGTACATGTGTATGTGTGCGAATGCATTTATGTTTGCAATGTGTGGACGCAGCATGAATGTGTGCGTGTCAAAGTGCATGTTTGTTTGTATGTTAACATGTATATGTGTGTTATGTATATGTGTGCATGTATGTGTGTACAATGCATATGTTTAAGTGTGTGTGTGTGTGTGTGTGTGTGTGTGTGTGTGTGTGCATGCCATGTACACATGCACATAGGTACATGAATGGGGCACTCATTCCACAGTGGATGTGTGGAGGTCAGAAGACAACCTGTGGAAGTTGGTTCTCTCTTTTCTTTTTCTTTCTTTCTTTCTTTCTTTTTTTTTTTTTTTGAGACAGGGTTTCTCTGTGTAGCTTTAAAGCCTGTCTTAGAACTCACTCTGTAACCAGGCTGGCCTCAAACTCACAGAGATCTGCCTGCCCCTGCCTCCCGAGTGCTAGGATTAAAGGTGTGCACCACCAATGCCCGGGTTCTAGGGGTTATGAGGTTTAGCAGTAAGCTCCCTTACCAACTTAGTCATCTCACTAGTGCAGGACCTATGCCTTTGAAAGAACTATTCCATACACCCAGCCGAGGAGAGTGTCAAACCCAGTAAGAGCAGCAGGTGGCAGGGCAACCCCTAGCATTGACAATAACTAGAGAAATCATGGAGGGGGTTGGGGATGCTGGAGTCCATAGCCACTCTGTGGGTCTGGTTAGCCACTGACGAGTAGTTTAGATGCAAAGTGAAGTGAGGAGCCAAGGGTGACCCTAAGGTTCATGGCCACCGATGCAGGAAGGAGGTAGAGAAGGAGGGTATTCAGACAGCTGGTACAGCCGGAGCACGGTGTCTGGAGCTGTTTCAGTGACATGGCCATGGAAACTCGGGGGAAGCAACAGGATACGACTGGGAACTCCCTGGATGGCCAGAAGAGAGGAGGCTCATGACAGCAGAAGTCAGGAGGAGGTTGCCAAGGGAGACAGGAAAGTAAACACCATTATCATGCACCCCCCCCAGAAGCCAAGGAAAGAACACCTTTGCAAAAGCAGGGATCCCTAATGGGGGGTGAGCCTAAAGCCATTATGCTGAAAGTAAAGCATGCACGGAGAAAGGAGTGCTGCAGGTTTCGATGTGTCTATCTATCCCAAACTGGCAAGTCCAGAGACCACCATCAGATGGGTACCAGCCAGAGGCTGTGGCCGGCAGTCACTGGTTTATGCTGTGCAATGAGTTCAAAGATCCAGGAGTGAGTTTTTGCTTTGTTTTGCATTTTTGTTTGTTTGTTTTGAGACAGAGTCTTGCTGTGTAGCCCAGGTTAGCCTTGAACTCCTTCATGATCCTCCTGCCTCAGCCTCCCGAGTGCTGGGATACCAGCACCATATCCATGTGAAGCTCTGTAACTCTGTGTGAGGTAGAAGGGAAGGTTTACAAATAGTGACGTCAGTTACACAGCATTATAAGTGCAAGCAATGCCACAGAACTGAACACTCACACACACACACACACACACACACAAAAAAAAAAAAAAACTGCCATACAAAACAGCACTCCCCTGAAAGCCCAGCTCTCAGGAGGCTAAGACAGGAGAAATATGAGTGTGAGGCCAACCTGAGCTACAGAGTGAGTTCTAGGCCAGTGTGGAGCACACCAAGAGGCCCTGTCTTCAAAACAGCAAGTTTTTTTTTCCAGCTTAAAAAACAAAGAATAGGGGCTGGAGAGATGGCTCAGTGGTTAAGAGCACTGACTGTTCTTCCAGAGATCCTGAGTTCAATTCCCGACAACCACATGGTGGCTCACAACCCATCTGTAATGAGATCTGGCACCCTCTTCTGGCCTGCAGGGACACATGCAGGCAGAACACTGTATACATAATAAAATAAATAAAATCTTTTTAAAAATTTTTTTAAAAACAAAGAATAAAGAGGATGGTGAGGCAAATCAGTCAAACAGGGCTTACCTTGCAAGCATGAAGATCTGAGTGCAATTCCTAGAACCCACATTTTTGTGTTTGTGTTTTTGTTTGTTTTGTTTTGTTTTAAAGCAAGATGTGGTGGGTAGCTTTGTGCTTATAATCCTAGCACTAAGCAGGCTGAAATACAAGATCCATGGAGCTTGTTGACCAGCCAGCCTAGCCTACTTGCCCAATGAGATATTCTGTGTCAATACAAGAAGAAAAACTAGACAGCTCCTGAGGAATGAACGGCTCCTGAAGTCGTACTGTGGCCTCCACACACATATGTAAATGTTGGCGTGCACATTTTCATACACGCATGTACCCACTCTCGTAGGTACAAACAAAATAACAATAATGAGATACACCAAAATGATTGAAAGGGTGTAAAGAAGGAAGGGTGAGTGGAAGAAGAAGAACTCAAATACCAAATCCACCATGCCTGGTGGCTCAGTTTCCATCTGTGTGGTGTGTCACTGGGCAGCTTGCACAGTGGGATGGTTGTGGGGTCAGAGAAAATTGCAACAACCAAAATAGATATTTTTCATAATTACTAGTTTTTATCCTTTATTATATTGGTCCACTGTAGTCATGTTACAGTGTTACCTCTCTGATCCTTTCACAGAAGCAAGTGGCAGGAGAAGGAGGCCAAGCTCCGAAGGACAGTCACTCGGGTACTGAAATGTGATGTCACCAAGACACCTGCACTAGGGTCTGCTCAAGTGCCGCTGGCTGACTGCGTGCTGACCTTTCTGGCCATGGAGTGTGCCTGTCTTGATGTGGATACCTACCGGGCAGCCCTGCGCAGACTGGCTGACCTGCTGAAGCCAGGGGGCCATCTGGTTACCATGGTTACTCTAGGTTTCCAGAACTATATGGTGGGCCCCAAAAAGTTCTCTGGGGTCTTCCTGGAGAAAGAGACGGTAGAGAAGGCTGTTCAAGATGCAGGCTGCCAGGTGCTGAAATGCAACTGTGCCCCCCTCAAATACTCACAGGCCTGCTGCAAGGGTCTCTGCTTTATAGTTGCCCGCAAGGGCTCCAGTGCCTGAGGTCACTGGCAGAGAAGAGCCTTCCCTGAGGAAGCTATAGCCAGTATTTATAAAATCTTGCTCCATAGCTTCCTAACACTGGTCATGCTGCTTCTATCTATTACCTGGTCACATGGTCACAAGGAAAAGCTCCAGGTTCTCTATTTTCAGCCCCAACATTCACCCCACTTGCTCCTTTTCTTACCCTAAGTAAAGCTAATTAAAATAAAGTGATTTCTCTGGATTCTGTCTTGGAATAGCGTTTCCCAGCAACAGTTGAGAATTTGACTGCCACACATGTATCTGGGAGCAGATGCTGTGAACACAACTGCAGGCCTTGGAGGGAGAGGAGGAGGGAGACAGATGGTGGCATGGGCAGCACCAAGCCCATTCCACTGAGGCAACTGGAGCTGGAGCCAGTGTGGGGCCTGCAGGGGGCGTTGCCTACTAAGGAAGTCGGCCATGCTTACCAATTTCCCTCATCATAAGTTCTGAATAATCAAGAGTACTTGAGTACTCTGCAAGTGGCTTCAACAGACTTGCAGACGCCAACCACAGTTATTCTGGCCACCATGCCCAGGCTCAAGAAAGAAAATGTATGAATGTGCTGGCTGGAGTGTGGATGCTTCTGGGCACCCTGGCCCTTCTGTGGGAGAAACAGAAGACTAGGACCTCAGATTTCATAGCCAGAAGGCACCTTTCAGAGCTGGGTGACTACATATAGGTGTGAGGAAGAGACTCTATATCTGATGGTTTGATGAGTCACAGCAGAGCCACATAGAGGCCTGATTCTGGAGGCAACAGAGCTTTAAGAGTGGCCAGCTGAGTCCAGCCAGTGGGACAGGGCAGAAGTAGGGTTGATTCATCCATATGGCCAAGAACACAAGCCATTACAAGCCTTCTGGGAAGGCCTAGAGACATATTTCTTGAGGAATGTTCACTAGGGAGTAAGTCCTCCATGGCCACTGTACTCACTGGCTCCATTGGAGCTGGTCCTAGCGTTGAGAGCAGTTGTGTTCTACAGAGGGAAGTGATATCCCTTCTTACCCTACTCTGGCACACATGAAGGCCCTGGTAGCTCTGTGAATGGAGCACAGCCCTTCCACAATATGTCAGCTCCAATGGTGCCATTCAACCCTGCAGAGAAGCTTCCCAATACAAATGCAGCCTTATTTCTACATTGCCTGAAATGTTGGCCTAGGGGGAGAAGGTTCCAGCTAAGCTCTTCGCTCCAGCTAACCAGTGTCAATTGAACCAGCAAAGCAAAGTTTTCACTTTAGGCATTCCTGTCTGTTATTAACCACAGCCCTGGCTGACTAGAACCACAGATCTAAACTCAAAGCATCACATAAAAGCAACAAAAGATCTTTGCTCCCCTCTGAACTTCACAAGCCGGGCCTCCATCATCTGCGTTGCTCTCAAAATCTTGTTTTCCAAGATCCCAGAGAACAGCCCACGGAGCTCCGAGCACTCAATGGCTTTTCCAGCCCAAAGTTCAAATGAAACCACATTGCCTCCTAAATACACAGTCAGGTTAGTCACAACACCCCATTCCTAGTACCAATTTTTGGCTTAGTAGGGCAGAAACCTAAGTCAGGAAACGAGCAGAAGCCACAGAGGGGCATTGCTCACTGGCTTGCTCATCCTGCTTTTCATATCATCCTGTGTCACCTTCACAGAAGTGGCACCTCGCACTGTGGACTGGACTCTTCCGTATAAATCATTATCCAAGAAAGTGCCCTATAGGCTTGCCCATAGGCCAATCTGGTAAAGACATTTTCTCTATTAAGGTCCACTCTTTTCAAGTGACTCTAGCTTGTGTCAAATTGACAACAACAACAAAAATAAAAATCTAGCCAGGATAACCTTCTACCAAATGGCCTTACTACACAGTGCTTTTCTGTCCCCTCCCTAGCCCATTCTCCACCTCTGAGCACTAAAAAGAAAGGGCAAGTAATGAGAAAGGCCAGACCAACAGCCACAGCCTGGGGAAGGGCAGCCTCCACTGCCGTTAAAACCAGTGTTTTCCTAAATGTTTCCATTGTGTTACAATAAATCTTTCCACCCCGCCACCCTCTTGAGTTCTGCTTACTGCATTAGGGCCCAAATAATACACAGAGACTTGTATTAGGTTCAAATGCTGCTTAGCCAATGACTAGGATTCTCATCTGTTAGCTCAGTCTTAATTATCATAAATCTATATATTTTATAAGACTTATCTTATCAAGGATGCCTTCCATTGGCATCCTCATCTCGGGATCACATGGTGACTCTGGAGGAAGAGAGAATAGGGGCCCATTTCCTTCTTGCCCTTGTTTATTTATGAGTCTCCCCACTATGTAATTTCCTGCCTGGATCATCACTTCTTTACTACATTTCCCAGAATCCTCCTTGACTCCTATTCCCGCCTAATTAGCTGCCTCATTGCCCAAACAGTACTTTATTTATCATCAAATAAGACAAACATATACACAGAAGCTCTTCCCTCATGACTATTGTGTTTGTGAAGTCACCCTGAGCCTTAGGTCAGAGGGCAGTAACAAGGGAGTCCTCCTATCAGTGCTGAGGATAAACTAAGTTTGATCCCTGTCCCTGCTTTAGAGCTACAGCAATGTGAGGCAGCAATGATTCCATTTGGCCATGAGAGGGCAGTGTAGGGCAGAGCATCCTCAGAACTCAGGCACTCAAGAGCTGTTTGCTCAATCAACTTTTTGACATTCTGTGAGATTTTTCCCCCTGCCCTCTGGGAGGTGGGCGAGAAAACCTGCTAGAAGACCCTTCTGCAAGCAAGGTCTCTGAAACCAGGACTCCCCCGGTCTACGAGGTCCCAGATTCGGCAGCTCCTCTGTGCCTGGAGGTGGTGGGAGAGGAAGCTGAGGCCTGGGGTGTGTTGGGACAAGTCCGACAGGGTTGGGAGCTCAGGATGGCTGGTGGGTGGAGTATCTTGAGGTGGGCAGCGCCAAGCAGGAGGTCTGGGGCCCATATTTCGGTGTCTGCACTTGTCACTGACAGCCTCCCACTAGCCGGGGCCTCTTTCCCATCCCGTCTGCTGGAAACGGAATGAAGGAGGAAGCATGCCAGAGTCACTAAGTGCAACCCAGGCAGCAGAGTCTGAGTCCAACGAACAGGTTTGCTAACTTTGAGCATCCTGGTAAGCTTTAGAAAATGCAGATGCCCGTGCCTCGCTGAGTTCTCCAGATAAAACCTTTGGAGAACAGACCATCAAGAAATCTGCTTTCAGTCTTCTGAGGACAACAGGAATGAGGAAGAGGGTGGGGTAGGCCCTTCCCAGGTACCTGGCGATGCTGGGCAGTTTCAGGTAAAGTGCTGAACTCTCTGTCTGCTCTCAGGGTGTCTTAGTTTGCTTTCTGTTGTTGCAATAAGGAAGGCACCGTGACCAAAAGCAACTTGGGGAGGAAAGGGTTTATTTCAGCTCATAACAGTCCATCGTGAGGGGAAGTCAGTACAGGAAGTCAAAGCAGAAACCTGGAAGCCAGAACTGAAGCAGAAGCCATGGAGGAGTTCTGTTTACCGGCTTGCTTCACGTGGCTTGCTCAGGCTGCTTTCTTACAGAACCTAGGACCACCAGTGCTGGGGTGGTACCACGCATAGTGGGCGGAGACCTCCCACACCAATCATTAGTCAAGAAAATGCCGCATGGGTTTACCTATAGGTCAATCTGATGGGGGCATTTTCTCAAGTGAGGTTCCTTCTCAAGTGACTTTAGCTTTGGTCAAACTGATAAATACTAACCAGCACACGGGGACTGAGCTCCAACTTAGTGGGGAAGTGCATGCTCCCAGGGTCTTGGATCACATGTGTCACTGCAGTTTGAGCAAAGGGCAGGGGGAAAGATGCATCCGGAATCCTTCCCTTGGTGGCTGTAAAGGCCAAACCATCTGCCCGAAGCTTTCTTATCAGCAACCACTCCTTGACCGGAACGAGGATCAAGTTTTTTAAGGGACACAAGGCCCTTCTGGCAGGTTGGTGAGAGCTGAGTGGAAGGAAGGATGGTGTCAAATGGAGCCTTCAGTAGCCAGGGATGTGCAGTCCAGGATGCCTGTGTTGGGGAAAGGAGTGTAATGGTGTAGTCATGGGCTGCCCCCAGAAAGAGGAAAAGGAACCCACCACTCCAAGAGTCTAGGAGAATCCTAGTGGCTGCTGGGATCTGGGATCAAGTGTCATCAGCTAATGGGGTGTTGAAGACCTAGAAAGGGGACTGTGGTTGAAGGCAGGAGGGGTGGATAGACTGCTGTGCACTGACCCTCTAGATTCCAGGGCTGTTGGCTGAGACTGGGCACAGTGCAGAGGGTCTAGAGAATCGGAGTTGAATGAAGAAGAGACTAATAGACGGTCATGTCTCTTAGAAGGTGGGTAGACAAGAAGCCAAGGAAGGCACCTGTGTGCAGGAGCACCCCAACGGGAGGAGGAGGCAATTTTAGGCAGCTGGAGTCTGAATCTGGGTAGGTAGATAAAGGTTTGTGCAGTGCCCAGGATGGGTGGGGCGAGCACCACCTGTAAAAACTTGTGGTGGCCCCTGCTGCCACGATCAGCCCGCTGAGACTGCCTAGGCTGTAACTGCTGGAAACAGAGCAAGCCGCTCCTGTAATTAAGAGAGAACTCTGTGATCCCCATTGTTGTTAGACTGGGAACTGACTTCCCTGTCTGTTGAAAAGAAAGATGTGTTTTCTAGTTTTTAATAACTGGGATCAGAGAGAGGTGTGAGTGGCATATTTTGCTGGCAGCACAGCAGTGTTCAGCCTCACCCTGACAACGAATTACTATGTCTGTTTAGATGGCAGAAGGCATGGCTTTCCTTCAAAACCCCAGATCAGTCCAGCAACAAAGGCTAAGAAAGCACTTCTGAAGGATGTCAGAGAGCCCGACCATTTGGCTCTCAGGCAGCCAGATGAACCCCACACAGACAGACCCATGGAAGGGAGGGCAGGTGTGCTGGGAATCCAACTGTCTTTGGAAGGAAGGAATTACAGACAGAGCCCTATACTCAGCTGTTCCAGGAATGTGCAGGAAAAGCAGAGTCCAGGACAGGTGCAGTGAGGGATTGACCAGCAGCCTGCAGGCTGGGGTTCTAGAACAGGACTTCCTCAGCTGAGAAATCCAAGGTGGGTGTACACGCCAACCTTGGATGTGTGGTAAAGAAAGATGTTAAGTAGTTTCCTTCTCCCATTCCAGGCTCTCGGCTCAAGCTGCTCTTCTGTGCCCAAGGGTGTGTCTTGATTTTTATTTCAAGACTCTGGGTGGGAAAGAAGGACTGCAGGCATCTGGGGCATGGACCAGGACCCAGCAATAATGCAAAAGTTGGGAAGGCCAGGAACCCATGGCTTCAGCACAGTGACAAGCTAAAACTGAGTACGTCTTGGCCTAGTTTTCCAAGCTTTACCAAGGAAAGAAAATATGTGGGCATCTAGGAAATAAAGAATATGGGCTTCATGAGAAAGAAACCACAGGAGGAGGCAGGACGCCCCCTCCTTTAAGCTGTGCTACTTCCTGTTGGCTTCCTTTTGCTTCTTCTGGCTCCTTTTGGAGCTGGGTCTCTGCTTCTTGACTGGAAATCTCTGTTTTCTTTCCACTGTGTAGACTCGCTGTACATTTTGCTATGCTATAAAGGCATGCTATAAACATATGTCTATTATACACTGAGCATAGTACTCTTTGCCCTCCTCTCCAATTCATTCCCTTGTTCCCCTAAACAGTTTTATTTCTACCTTCATACATAATTTTTATGTTCTGATCTAAAATCTAGACACCAAATATATTTTAGTTAAGTTTCTGTTGGTATGATAAACATTCTGAAATTAAGTAACTTGATGCAATAGGGCTGGGTTTGGTTTGCCCATCCTGATGGCAGTCAGTCGTTGAGGAAAGTCAGGAACAGGGATTTAATCAGGAGCAGAGCCAGGAACTTGGTCATCTACATTTCTTATACAGGCCTGGTCTGCCTGCCTAGGGATGGTGCTGCCCATGGTGGGCTGCCCCCCATATCAACCAACAGTCAAGACAATGCTCCACAAAAATATACTCATAGGCCAATCCAATGGAGACAATTCCTCAAATGAGGAACTCCAGTTTGTATCAAGTAAGAAAAACTAACCAGCATAGCATATGAGCAAAAACATATTTTGCCTTTCTGAGACTGGTATAATTCACTTACTATTATTGTGTCTGGTTGTACTATTTTCCTACAACAACCATACTACATTCTCTGTGTCCATCCTCTCATGCTGATAGCTTTCCTGTTTCAAGGGACAGTCTTGCAAAAGAGAAGCCATGAGGTCTCCATGTGGCTTCATCACCTCTCCCCTTCAAAAACCAAGCATGGGGCAGGGATTAGCTGCTTGGAAGGTTTGCGCATGGTCTCCATAAATGTAGAGATCACCGTGTGAGGCTGTGCTCCCTGAGCCCAATACAGGACCTGGCACATATTAGGTCTGCAGTAAATAACTGCAGAGTACTTGAAATAACTCCCTGTATTAGTTGGGGTTCTATGTAGGAAAAGAACTGACAGAAAGAATATGTATATCTTAGTCACTGTACTTTGGCTGTGAAAAGACACCATGACAAAGGTAACACTTACGAAAGAAAGCATTAAACTGGGGGCTTCCTTACAGTTTCAAAGGGTAGTCATGACCATCCTGGCAGGGAGCATGGCTGCACACATGGCCCTGGAACAACAGTAGCCGAGAACTTCACATTCTGATCCAAAGGCAACAGGCAGAAAGAGAAGCACTAGGCCTGGCATGGGCTTTTGAAGCCGCAAAGTCCACCCAGCCTCAGTGATGTACTTCCTCCAACAAAGCCCACATCTATTCCAACAAGGACACACCTCCTAATCCTTCTAAACCTTTCAAATCATTCCACTTCCTGGTGACTAAGCATTCAAATATAAGGAGCCTATGGGGGCCATTCTCTATCAAACCACCATCGACATATGCACATATGAGATTTATTTATTTATTTATTTTGGTTTTTCAAGACAGAGCTTCTCTGTGTAACCTTGGCTATCCTGGAACTCCCTCTATAGACCTGGCTAGCTTTGAACTCAAAGATCGACCGGCTTCTGCCTCACAAGTGCTGGGTTTAAAGGCCTGCACCACCACTGCACAGCTGAGGACTTAGTAGAGTGGCTTATAGACTGTGGTCTGGGTTGTCCACTGATGACCATCCATCTCCC